GAAATAAAGAAGGTGGTTGGAAAGTTGAAGAAGGCGTTAAATAAGGAGGGAAAGAATAAATAAATCAAAAAAAAAAAAAAAAAACAAACAAACCCGATAAAAACTTCAAAAAAAAAAAAAAAAGGGAAAATAAATAGAAAGAAAGAAAAGGAAAAGAAGGAGGATTATAATAAGGAGGAGAGAGAATAAGAAAGGATAACGAAAAGGGAAATTGAAGACGAATTTTTTTTCTTTTATATTGAAAAAAAAAAAAAAACCTTAATTCAATAATGAAGATGACGCATATGATTGATGAAGTAATCAACGACTTATTTGCAGCAACTCCATGTGAAGTTCTGATCACGCCCCTGCCATATGACGAAAGGCAAATGTTAAATGAAAAAGTCAACATTACTTACTGACATATGTTAAGGAACCAAAAATTTAAAAATAAAATTGGAAGTTTGCTCTACGGCTTTTATTTAGGAAAATTATTAGATGACGCAAATCCAAAAGAACAAACCGAATGTCGAAAGAAGATTACAAAGCACTATTATACAGCTGCGATCAGAACTTACTGGTTATTCGAAATGTATAGAATTGAACAAGTATACCGAACGCAGAAGTTGATTTTATCTGATCTTGCAACAATGAAAGCAGAAGACTTCCGAAGCTTATTCTAGTTTGTGGAATGAATAAGCTAAGTAGAAGAAAATGTCACAATTATAAATAGATCAAAGATGCATTAGGCAAATTAGAGGATCGATTGCATAATTGTTTACATTACATAATTAGTATATCTAGTAGATGTAGCAGATTTAGTGAATATAGCATATTATGTGGATTTAGTATAAATAATAGAATTTATCGAAATAGCATAACTAGCATATATAGTATAACTAGTATAATTAGCAAATATAGCATATTAGATAGATATGTAATTATATAAAAGCATAAGCATTTATTGAGCTGGAAGGTGTCTCACAAACATCGTAATTAATAAACTACATATTTGCTTCACCAAATCGAATATCCTCTTTCGAGACATTATAGTATTATCATTGAACATTACACAAACCCTTTCCTGGTTTACCTTACCAAGTAGGGATTTTTAGGTGTACGTTTTACTACAGCATTACACTAGACAATAAAATATAAATCCTTATTATATATTTAACTATTAATATTAATAATATATTTTTAATTTTGAAGCTAATAATATATTGTTAATAATACTAAATATAATTAACAATAATTTCAGAATTATTTAAGATTTTAGCACAAAAAAATACTAAAATCTGATTAAGTATTATGTTAAGCCTAGTTGGTTCTTCTAAACTAATAATTATTAACAAGATTAATAAGTTTCAAATTTATAATTAAAAAAGCCAAATTCTTAAAAAATTAAAGATTTAATATAAAGCAAATTTGCTATTTAGATATATTATATCTGAATTTTGATATTAAGTGATCTATATATATTTTCATAATCAAGATTTTAGTTTAAATTCTACTAAAACCAGTTTCTAAAAATATTTAAATATAAACTCTGTAAAGTTCAAGTAAAGTATAAATTTGGCACTAGTCATTATTAACTTTATTCTCTTCAATCAGTTTAATACCAACTATATAAAAAATATATTTAAATTCTAATAGAATTAGCAACTACTGTACTATTAACATTTTATTTATTATTTCTATATAATTTTTTTGAAAGATCTCTTCCAATAGCCTTAACTTTTATGCTAACTATATAGATTTTATCTATTCTATAGCAGTTAAATATCCTACTCAAATCTCAATACTATTCTCAATTCCTATTAACTATTCTATCGCATCTCAAATTTTTAAGCCTGAAGAATCTATATCTAAGCTTGAACAATTCTCAGTTACTAATTGTATACAATCTCAATTCAACTTCTATACAAATAGATCTGTGATTGATATTAATACTGAATAATATATAATGTGTATAGATTGGGTTCAGTAGATTTTAATAAAAATATTATATATAAATTCTCAGCAATAATCTATCTTTGGCTATTTTTCTTATAAAGCAGAACTTTTCTTTATTTTATCTATAATTTTACTACTTTATACAATTCAATTATAAATATTTTTACTAATTCACAATCTGTTATCTTTAAATACTTAAATCTTATTAATTCTTACAACCCTAACAACCCTTTTAAATTTGTTTCTAGTTTTTATAGCATACATTATTTAATATTTCTAAATTATATAATCTACAAATTACTTTTATAAAATTCAAGCCCATACTGATGACTATTATAACAACTTAGCTAATATACTTGTAAACCAACATATAGAAGTGAGTCAGTAGAAAAAGACAAATTTTTTCTAAGTAAAAGTTTTCTTGACTTTAAGCTTAAATATTTTAACAACTATCTTATTAAATTTAATGA